CTGTTAGTATAGGAAGGGAATATAGCTTGATCTCAGGACGAACTATATTTTGTGATGTTTCTAAATACGATATGTTTTTTTATGTGTATTGTTCCGTCTTATATTTGCGAAATATAGAACTATGAATACTATTCTATAAAGTCGCAATACGAAATGTATCATTATCTATCTTATATTCAAATGTCTAAACACAATGTCAAACATAAGTGTATTGCCATATTCGTTTTTCTTCCGATAGATTTTAGGTCTGTAACCCCTCAGTGTGGTAAAACGTTTATAACCATAAATTTATATGCTGTAATAAACCATTTACTCCTTATCATTAATTATCAATAACTTCGCTTATCATCGATTAATCATTATCTATCATCTATCTACTAAATTCAAATTTATCAACCATTCATTATCATTTACTACTCATTTCTCAAATTATCTCTCATTTCTCGTTTATCTAATTCATTTGATATTTGTTGATGTACGAAAAAATAAGATGCGTAAAAAAAAAAAAAAGAGGGGTAACGAGCTCATTAATATTAATAAGCAACATGGGAGGGGAAGGGGGGGGGTCCAAGTGTTAATTGTTTACTGTTTATTGCTTGCGTTTGGTTGTTTGAATTTATTTTGTTGTTTTTGTTGTTGTTTATGGTCATTGATTGTTTTATTTGTTTACGTTTAATCGGTTGCTGTTCGTATTTTATTGTTATTGTTTTTTTGTTGTTTATTGACTGATCGCTGTTTATGTTTGATTGTTGCTTTGTGTTTGTTGTTTAGATTTTCTTCCTTGTTGATTATGTTTTGATATTTGTTGTTTACGTTGTATCTGTCGCCGCCAATTTTTTTTTTCTTATATAAGTCTGTTGTTTGATAGTCACGTCTTTTTTTTTCTGCTTATTATATATTATCAATATTCGCTGTTTTTTTGTTTTGTTTTTTGTTTTTGTCATTTGTTCTCTATTTGTTTATGAGGATAAGGGAAGGAGGGAGGGAGTTAATATTATATCATTAATTATTAGCTATGGATTATTGTGATCTGTTCACCGCCCCCACCCCACCCAAAAAAAAAAAAAAAAAAAAAAAAGAAACTTGGCACTAACGTCGGGCATCCGGGCACAGGCAGGAAGAAGGTGATGAGAGTGTGGGCAGCGACGAGGAGGATGTGAACGAACCACTGTGGGAGGAGCTGCAGGATGTCGGAGAGAGCGATGCCCACGTTGCTCTGTTGGAGGGAGGGAGGGAGGGTAGGGGAAGGAGGAGGGAGGGAAGTTGGGTGGGAGAGTGGGTGGGAGGGAGGGAGAGGAAGGAGGGAGGGAGGGAGGGAAGGGAGGGAGGAGGGAGGGAGGGTAGGGGAAGGAGGAGGGAAGGAAGGAGGGAGGGAGGGAAGGAGGGAGGGAGGGAGGGAGGGGGAAAAGGAGAGGAGAAGGAAGAGGAGGGGCAGAGGAGAGGAGAGAAGATGAGATTACAAAAATGCTTTGATCTTGTTAAAATGTATCAAACAATTCTTATAATCATCATCACCATTTCATATATTTTCTTTTATTTCTATTTAAAGTGCCCCATAAACTAAACCACCCAACAACCACCCTACACACACATAACCCACCTACACCCACGCTCACGCCCGCGCACGGCCACCCACCCACCGTACCTGATACTGCGGCGGTTCCTTGGGCGAGAGAGCCAGCGCCACGCCCGCGGTCACGAAATAGCAGATTGCAAACCGCTGCAACACGCCCGGGATGCGGTAGCGGTCGAGGTACACCCATCCGCCCAGGGAGTTGAGGACGATGCCCAGGAGGAAGAGCTTTAGGGAGCGCTGTGGGCGGAAGGTGGGAGGGGAAGGAAGGGAGGGAGAAAGGGGGAAAAAATGGCATAATTAATCAAACAAACTAATTTTTCTCGTCATTTTTTTTTTTTTTTTTTTTTTTTTTTTTTTTTTTTACCAAGAGAAATTCATTTTCGACAAGTATTTCCTCCTACCTGTCTCCGTTCTATATTTTCACCGAGACAAATCGACAAGAGATACTACTTTCTTCACCGAAATATACAGTAAATACTCACGTGCACACACACACACACACACACACACACACACACACACACACACACACACACACACACACACACACACACACACACACACACACACACACACATACATACTAACACACACATTCTTACACACACACACACACGTTCACACACACATTCTTACACACACACACACACACACATACACACACACACACACACACACACACACACACACACACACACACACACACACACACACACACACTAACACACACATTCTTACACACACACACACACACGTTCATACACACATTCTTACACACACACACACACACATACACACACACACACACACACACACACACACACACACACACACACACACACACACACACACACACACACACACACACACACACACACACACACTAACACACACATTCTTACACACACACACACACACGTTCAT